CCTCACCTATCATCTGGGGCTGGTACAATAGACCAGAAGTGGCCGCAGTACAAGGGACTTAGACCACTTAGACCCACCCACTAGCAATAAAAATATACTGAATGATAAGCGTTCCCGACGCTTATAAATAGATGATAAACTGTCCCATTGGACTCCAATGCTTTCTCTACTATCATACAAACGAAAAAAAAAATGATAAGTGGCTGATCTGTTATGTTGAAATCCACATTGATGATCCCAAACAATTTCTTCTACACGTGGAATTAAATTTACGAAGAAATATTTCGTATGAAGCTGATAATAATGACATTCTTAGATAATTACTACAATCATGTTCATCGCGTTTCTTGTGAATTGGCACAATAATACGTGATAGAATCCTTCCACTTATCAGATAAATTCTTTCTTATTCCAAATATAATTTATCAGTTTATGCATATCATAACTTGTTGTTTCCTTCCCGTTTGAATCAGTTCTGTAGGAATTCAATCGTCCTTCCTGACTTACAATTTTCAAATTCACAATAACACTTCACCGCAATCTGTGAGCCGACTGCCTAGGAAATATGGGAGCTTCGACGTCTAACAACTCTATGGGCCTCCATGGGCTGTTACAGGGATGGCTTTGCCTTGTTTCAACAGCAACTTCGAAAGGAATAGGCTCAGATACTAACAGCTTGACTCATGTGCTTTATTTTATTCTGTTTCATGTAATGATTTTCTCGTATATTCAATGGCTGATAGAATTCTTACATTTATTTCAATTAGTTTGGAAGTCTGCAATAGAATATCGTTTTCATCCTCTGCCAAGTTACACGTAGTTCTAGGTTGGTAACCCTGCTTAAGTCTCTGATGTTCCTCTTTTCACAGTTGTTTCAATAGACTAAAAGAGTCCTCCAAGAAAGGAAGACAACATCTTCTGAGATTGAAATTAGAAACTTCCATAATTAAATTGAAACATGGCATTAATACTGACTCTCCCTCTCTCTCTCTCTCTCTCTCTTAGATTGATTAAATCTCTACTGAAATAGTGAGTCATAAATTAATGCTTGGCATGTTTTACATTCCGAATTCGACACAAAAGAGAGTTCCAACAATCTGATTGTTATATTTTTTGTTTGATGTTATCTTTACATTAAAATATTACATACATTTTTTGACAGAATAAAACTTCCCTGTTTCATACCATAATGACAGTGTACAGCGTGGACTTTAATTACACAATATCCGCTACTATACGAGAAAGGAAGTTACGTGTATAAAGCTGCATGAGCCAAACAACTGAACGACAACAGAGAGTCGAAAGGGCTGTAAATGTGTATAAATTTGTTTATACTGAGTATGAACCCGCCATATGAACCTGTAGATACTTCATAAAATCAACAAAATCATCAGGATTTGACACACTCGGTTAGACTAAAACTCAAATCCTGTAGACACAATTGGCAATCTATTGCAATTCCCGTTGAAAAGTCCATGGAAAGTCTCTGAATTTGTCGCAAAACTATGCCGTTGCTCTTCACAGATTCAGTAGGTTCCAATTGTAACATTACTATGCCAATATGGAAGAATATAAAGACGAACTAGGAACAATAACATGCACGCAAACACATGAACTAGATTATCTTACCATTTGCGCAGATAAACCTCACGGGAAAATACACCGGCCTTCATGAGTACACACACTATAATTTCTTTCTGCACATTCTTACAGTGGGGGCTAGCGGTAGCGTTAAGGCATTATGCTACAAGCAGGAAGGTCGAAGGTTCGAGACCCGATAGGTGGATTTCTTCAATTTACCTAATCCTTGCAGCCTCTAACAGAAATGAGACCAGGAATCTTCCTGGGGGATAACAGGCCGCCGGCGCGGAAGGCTGACAACCTTACCGCTATCTGTGAGCCGCTTGTCTAAAGAAAATGTGGGAGCCTCGACGTCTCACAACCCTATGGGCCTTCACGACTGTTAGGAATAGCTTTAGCTTTTATATACTCGGAATACAGGGGCCTACCAGAAACACATAGCCACTCTAGATGAAACATTTGTACATAATAATAGGTAAACGGTCGGTAACTAAAAGGCAAAACGTGTGACTCTCTCTGCATCTAAACAACACAGCATGGCAGTGTATGCAGGGAGTGGAGGTAAATATTTAATACAACTCTGTATTAAGTCCGTCACAACAGAACAATACAGAGTTAAGGCTAAATTAGCTTTGCTACATGTTTCGGCTATTCATAGCCATCATCAGGTAAATACACGATCATGTTTACACATTAGTGATCTGCAATTGCGTAGTAAGTCTGAATACTTGACAATTATCATATTATAAAACACTTACTTACTTACTCATGGAGCTGAGCCCTTCTGGAGGAGCCGCCAATTCTGCAGCATTTTATGGAACCCGAAGGTTCATTACCGTATTCACAAGAGCCCTCCACTGGTCCCTAACCTAAGCCAGATCTATCCAATCCATACCATCCCATTCTATCTCTCCAAGATCCATTCTAATACTGTCCACCCACCTACACTTTGGTCTTCCCTGTGGTCTCTCTCCTTCTGGCTTTCCCACCAATATCCTATACGCATTCCTCGTCTCCCCCATTCGTGCTACATGACCTGCCCACCTCATATTATAAAACACATTGTATAAAAATTACAATGAAATATAAACTTATTATAAAACAAGAGTTATTTAATCAAATAAGGTTAAAACTATTCAAGTGATAACCTACGAGTATATAACGAAGTCAGTCGTTGCAATCTTGTATTTTCCCGCGGACGTGCTATATTCTAGACTTTTATATGGTAAACTGTTTGGAGGTCCGTGAAGTATAGTTTTAACATAAATTGTTTGGTCGGTGCCTCATCGTACGATGTATTTATGTCCGTTTTGTAGTGAATACCGATTGCAATCCGTATTCACTACAAAATGGACATAAATACATCGTACGATGTCTTAACCGTGAGGACAGAACCCCGGTACCGGCTGTTTAAGGGTCTGAGTGGGACGTAGAACCATCCAGGACGCAGTGGTGAAGAGAGAAAACTCTGTCCATGTCAGAACTCGAAAGCCGGGGGTTCAGCTCGTAGGTAGTCACCGTTGCCAACTGAGCTATCCCATCTCAGTGAGCACTGTAACGTGTTTGCTTCGGTACTTTGCTGACATTAGATACAGAAGCCGAATGATCAGGAAAGTTACAAATTCATGTCGCAGAGGTACCGACATTGAAGAATACGCCGCAGGAAGGCCGCGCCAAAGCTCAAGCGTTTAGTCGCTGGCTTCCCACCGCGGCGGTCCAGGTTCGATCCCGGGTCTGGTCAAGTGGGAGATCTGGTAGACAAAGCGGCGCAGGGGCGGGTTTTCTCCGAGTACTTCGGTTTCCCCTGCCAATCTTCATTCCACCAAATTCTCCATCATCATATTCACACGGGGCAGGCTACAATAAGCCAATCAGTGGCCGCCGTGCCGAGTGGACCCAGTTGGACTCCACCCCCCACTAAGCGAAGCCGCAAGAACGTCTAAGGTAGCGGGCGGCCTCAGTGGATCTCTCCGTAACTCCATGCCCATACAGAGACAGCGCCCTCAAACCTGGCATTGCAACGCCTTCTTCCAAATTTGTAATGCAAATAACCTGTAATGCTGAGAAAGCATCATTAATAAGTACTCTCTAGAGAGATGCTAAATTTTCATTCAAGAATATGGAGAGATGTATGAAGATGTGTAAGTATGAACAGGAAGTTTGGAGCATTAGCAGCCTGTGTTCTGAAGGCGTCCGGTTTTAATCCCGACTGGGTGCTTATTGCCTCGTTTGAGGCTTTTCTTGCTTGACATCAGTCATTCGTGGTGAATAATTACTGTGGAGCAGTCCACGAGTTCCTTTTCCCACGTAATGGATCCAAAACTTCATAGTTAGGGGAGGAGTACACACCCTCGGTCACTAAAGAGTGAAAGTAAAGTCCGTACGCCTTCTAAACATGCAATAACGACGTATGTGTGCAGTGCAGTGCAGTGCAGTGCAGGTAAAGCTCTACATTAGCTTAGATACCAGATGGAGATGGGTGATCAGCTTCGTGCTTCGGCCGTTTTACTCCCAGTGGAATATCCACTCCGCTGATCGCACAGGGAACTGGATGGATTAAGGGGGGGGCACACCAAGGAAACTGGCAACAGCAACTTTCGAGAATTGTTATCACCAGGGCCCGGATTTTGATGACATGTCATCTTTTTTCCCTTGTATCCTATGTGATGCTCTTAAATATATAAATCTCGGATATTAGCTGCTGGTTACAGAAATGTAAATTTTATAGGTAATTTTTTTTGTCATTTTTTACATTTTTAGGTTTAACGTCATTTTTTCATTTTGGGGGTAATTTTTTTTTACTTTTAAGGGTATTTCTTGTCATTTTTGGCCATTTTAGGGAATTTTTCTTCATATGTTTTCTGAAATGTGAATAACATGGAAGCGAAGTGTTCTTTCTTTTCTCCTTTAGGTCATTTTTCTGGATTTTTCGGTTATTTTTTTGAATATTTTCAGATCATCAAAATCCGGGCCCTGCATATTACACTTTTGGCTCATATTTTAGGTCATTTTTCTGGATTTTTTCGGTAATTTTTAAAATATTTTCAGGTCATCAAAATCCGGGCCCTGGTTATCGCGCTGAGTTGAACACGTGGAACTAAACTGAGCAGCGCAAATTGAGGAAACGGCAACACAGCTCGCGGAAGACTATAAACAGTCTGCCTGAAGCTGTTTGAAAGACAACACACACACACAACTGACACCGCAAGAAATCTAAAACCTGCATCAGCAAGGTGAAGATTTCTAACAGTCACCGGTGACTCGTGATTCGCATAGCGGTTGTCGCACATACGGAATGAGCCGTACGGTGTCCTAGGGGTATTAACCTGTCCTGGCCATGGCTGGCTAACATTGCGTACGGTAAGATGCTTGCCGTTCCTTAAGTCATTATCTCTGGTACGTGTTGGAGCTACAGTATAAGTCACTCTTGCTTAAAAGTGGTATAGATAGTGAATGTTGGGTACAAAAACTGTACGTCACTTCCTGCCGCAATGAACTGACGTGTGGATATGCATGCTTGCGTCCAGTGCTCTTGTCCACAGACATGGGATGAATAGGATCATACAATTCGGATTTCTATATTGCCGTTTTGGGCTGCGTGCTGTGAATGTTTCCGATGAAGTTATTACGTCATTTGTTTGTGTCATTGTGGATTTACAAGTGATACTGTGTTTTAATGTCACAACACCGGCCATGTGTAAGAATCCTTGAGTCAGACGTTATCACAACAGTCGTACCGACAAGTGTGTGTGGAAGCAAATCTGAGGTAAGTCCAGTAGCGACTCATCGATAAGATAAATAACTTCTTTCTTTACAACGGTCATTTTTACAGTTTCAAGTTTCATACTTGTCAGGTTGAACACTGTTCTCTAGTATCACGGTTCCGATTTCTCGGGTCGGAATTCGGTTAACGGGCTTTTAATGTAGGATTTGAAGTTCTCACAGCGGCCGTTATGAAGAGTTCTGTCTTCTCAGATGTAACTCTGTGTAGTCAGTTGAAATTCAACCAGCATTCCGGAGAAACATGTCTCCCCCCTTCTCCTTGGCTGAAGCTAGAAACCACACGAAGCAAGCAGCAAGCAAAGATGTTCCTGCCTACTTCATGTTCTCCCCTAACGTCGGAAGATTTCCAGCGCACTACACAGATTTATATCCCAGAAGATGAACCGCTTCAGGTTTTAACGTGTTTCGGAAAATGCACGTATAATTTTGCCTGTGGTTCTGTATGGGTGTGAAACTTGGTTTCTGACATTAAGGGAGGAACATAGATTGAGGGTGTTTGAGAACAGGGTGTTGAGGAGAATATTTGGACCGAAGAGAGATGGAGTGACAGGAGGTTGGAGAAAACTGCATAATGAGGAGCTTCATAACTTGTACTCTTTTCCAAGTATAATCAGAATGATCAAGTCAAGGAGGATGGGATGGACAGGGCATGTAGCACGGATGGGGAGAAGCGGAATGTATATTGGTGGGAAAGTCAGAAGGAAAGAGATTACTAGGAAGATGAAGATGTAGGTGGGTGAAAAATATTAAACTGGATCTTAGAGAGACAGGATGAGATGGTATTGATTGGATTGATCTGGCTCAGGATAGGGACCAGTAGAAGGGCACTTATGAACACGGTACTGAACCTTCGGGTTCCATAAAATGCTGGGAAATTCTTGGGTAGCTGCAGAATTGGCGGCTCTTCCAGAAGGGCTCAGCTCCATGAAGTTAGTTTATTTAGTTAGTTCGTAAAATAAAGGGAGAGTAGGCCTAGATTAAAATAGGCCACTACCGTTTCCTCCCACATTCTCCCCTACTCGCCTCTCACAGTCACTCTGCCGCACTAAGTATGTGATCTATGGTTTCGAGAAAATGTAGTTAAATGGGCCAAAAAACATTTATGTGCGGCGAGCAGGTTCGCTCAGCGATAGCGAGCCTCATTTGAATGCTGGAGATCGGCCGGACACATGTACACGTATAAGGTGGTATTATTGTGAGTCCTTGTAGCCAAATGCTGCGACAGAACTTTGAAAACTGTAGGATTCTCTGTTCTTCAGCACCTTGCCGGCTCGAAGCGCAAACTCATCCCTCAGTTTGTTCGACGCTGAACACCCGAAACTGAATATACTTACTTGTATTGCCGTAAACATCATTCTAACCACGGTTTGTGGGGAGCATAAAGAGTGCCAGCGCATTTGTAGATTATAAACAAGAAGTCCTGGGAAAAGCAATCGTGTACTATCCTTTCACTGCAAAAATATTTTTTCAAGAGAAGAAAATTGGACTAATCGAGGAGAACTGAGCATGAAATGCACGAAGATGTATTGCGCCTTCATCCCATCTATGCCCTAGACGATCTCAATAAACTAACAGAAACATAAGATCTGATCGGGGATTCGATTCTCGACCTCTAGAATACAATGTGTGTTTACCTACATGCGTAGTTGGTAGTGACTAGCTACGGGTTTGGACGACAGAGGTCGGAGTTCGAGTCCCGGTAAGGGAAAGAATTTTTTCTCCTCCAAATCATCCAGACGGGCTCTGGGTTCTACGTAACCTCCTATCCAATGGGTACCGGGTGCTTTTTCCCTGGGGGTAAAGCGGCCGAGACGTGAAGCTGACCACTCAACTCCAGCTAATGCCGAGGTGAAAAAAAATTGGATTTGTACATCTACTCATTCATGGCGTAGTGCTTAATTCGTTGAGCACAGGGACAACTTTACCTTTTTACCTACAAGCGAATAACGGGTAGGTATTTGACAAGTTTGCCTTTTAGAATTTTTCTCGCTTGGCAGTCTGGACCACGGCCACTTCTCTCCCTAATACCAATCCATCAATCAAAGTCACAATAGAAAAAAATTTCCTTTCGTGCTGTATAGGCCACTATTCGTAGATTTAAATCCGTGTCATACTTGGCAAGACAAATACGGGCCACTGGCGTCACTTTATCTGCAGCTCCCACAAAGGTGAGCAGACACTTCCCTTCATTGCCATCAGTCGCTACTATGTAATTTTGTAACTAACAAATTCTCTGAGACAGATGTAGGAGGGATGCTGAAGCTAACTGGAATCAATAAAGTAGAAAACCGAAGCGCTCTCTACCTGCCGCTCTGTACCTCACACCGTAGACAAACTGTAATAGGCCTCCCGTTGCGAGGCAAGACTTGCAGCTATTTCCTGTTCTCCAGACTGTGGTTTATCACTGTTCATTACGTGAGCCTACAAGTAACTGAAAGCGATTAGGTAATGCAATATACCGTATTTACGCATGTATAGGCCGCAGCACAATTTTCAGACAGAAATTATAGAAAAAATAATTTTCTTGGAATATTATTTCAGGAGTATTACACCCTGTATTACTAATTATGAATATAATTTTTTTAAAATGAAGTGTGATTTCGAATATTTCGAATATAAGCCGCACCCCAGTTTTCCTCTTGAATTTTTGGCAAAAAATGTGCCGCCTATACATGCGTAAATACGGTAATACAGACACTGTAAACGTATATTTAAATAATTTCTTGTAATAAAAATCCAAAGTATCAATGTATCGAGCAACCTTCCGCATTCCTTCTTTTCTCCTCGACGAGGAATGCAAAGCATTCGTATCAAAATTCGAAATTAACAAAGCCCGTTTCTTCTGCTATTCGTATTAGTAAGCCATTTGTACTCAGTTCTTTTAGGACACTGCTGTACCGGGTAAGTTAGGCCGTGCCATAGCCCAGGCTGTTAGTCGCCGGCTTCCCACCGCGGCGGCCCGGTTTCGAGTTCAGGTCAGGTCAGGTCAGGACATGTGGGAGTTTTGGTGGACAAAGTGACATTGGGGCAGGTTTTCTCCGAGAACTTCGGCTTTCCCTGTCAATTCTCATTCCACACCGACTGCTCCACACTAATCATCTATCATGCAGGGTTGGTACAATACGCCAGTTAGTGGACTCAGTCTCACCCCACCCCAAGAAACTATAAAACTACCGGGTAAGTTGGTATAGCGACAATGCTCTGCACTTCTCTTTGGGAGGTATTCGGTTCGAATCTTGTCCCAGACACCGGGTACTCTGTCTTGAGGATTGTCGTGGTTTTCCTCAGTCCCTACAGGCAAATTCTGAGGCAGTATCTCGGTTGGAGCACTGCTGCTTGTTCCCATATCTTTTGAAATTCATTATTCACTCATCGGACTGCTATTCGACGCCGTATGGGCCGCCATGTTGGTACGGTTGTAAAGTAAAGCAGAAGAAGGAGAGTTCTAACAGGACAGGCCACATAGCCTCCATAAGAAACTTGCAGACATTAAAGATTTGTGACTTTCATAGCAGATTTACTGAACCATTCTTACAAACAGCAATACATCATTTAAATGTAAATTCAGAAGGGCTATATATTTTAAGTAAAAAGGTGAGGAGAACGGTTTAACATTGCTGTAAGTGCGCTCCTGACGTCAAGCTTTTCAAACAAAGAGTATGTCGAATTCTTGTTGTGGCCTTTCGACATGAGATGTTTACGTGTTAGTAGGTTCCGTTGTGTTGAACTTTCCTGTTTCATCAAGGAGAAAATAACTACATTCACGGAGTAGGAAGTGCTTCCAGACGCTTAAACAAACAGGCAGCCGCAGATAACAGTTTCTGCCTGAATGGGGGAAATATTCTGTGAATTTCCTCCTTGAAGTTTTTCTTAATTTCACTACTCAACTAAGGTCGATAAATTCGCGTTGTAATGCCTCCATAGAATGCCTCAAAATAAGTAGCATCAGCACTTAACACTGCTCTATGATGATGCACGGATCTCTGCAGATAAATGCTGGAACTGACGAATGTGATTGGCATACCAACTGCAATTCTATTTGGATTGATGAATTGTTTTGTGACAGTTTGCGGCCTCCGTGGTCTAGGAGTAACGTTCCCACCTCATGACTCAAGGTACGCGGGTTCAAACGCGGCGGAGGTCGTGGAATTTTTAAGGGTGGAAAAATTCAGGGAACAAGTCCTCCGGGAGGGACTTTAAGCCGCGTGTCCCGTGTCGTAGATTTAAGGCACGTAAAAGAACCTCATGTCTCTAGGAGACCTCTGAGCTAAATTACAGGCCCTTTCCCGCCCAAGTAGTCTCCAACGCCTCTGGTGGATGGGGGAAGCATCAAGGTACGGGGGGCCGACCTCGTTGGCTCTACGGGGGCTGATGGCACGCACCGTTATCGGTAGGGTATGGCGACAGTAGAAATTAAAAGGGGGACACACAATGGACCAATAACTGGTCTAAGTGCATGGGGAAACCCACCCCCTCTCATAATACATACATGTTTTGTGACAGTTTAGGAGTGATAAGCATCGTCTGTAGTTATTTCATTCCCTTGGTACGCGAATATTTTGTTTACATGTCATACATACACAGGTGTCTCATTATTACTGACCTATTTTGCAGGATGGCTGGTGAAGGTCAACATAAGTAAATAACTTTATATTCGTATGTACTCTGAGGGTCTTCATTAGAAAGTTACAAGTATACTAATTTCAACTTCGATGATCAAACATTAAATATTTCCTAAGGTTAACAGGTTGTGCATAAGAATAAAAACAAAATAGCTATTAATAACCTCATTATTTTTACTTTTTTACGTGCCCGAAATGGCCTCCATGTTAACGAGCACCCAGCTCTTCGCGAAAAAGAAACCCTCAAGCGGTCAAAGATTCCAGGTGTATTATTTATTTTACTTTCAAATTGTCTAATTCGACACTAAAATTTCTCTCTAGTAGGTCTACCGACTGAACTTGTATAGACTTCGAGTTTCGA